ATATTATTATTATTTTCCTGATTTTCTTCGAAGAAAATTGCTAACGTACGACTTCCATTGAGCGTGTCGGAAGAAAGCCGCTTCGTTAAAATCGCCGAATGCGTTAGTCACCCATCCGGAAAGATCTCGACACTCGTCGAGTGGGTATATCATACGTGACGTTTGCTTTCATAACAGCTGATAGCAGGTACGTCGAATCATAAGTCAACACGACGATTGTATTATATTAGCGCCAGATATTGTGTTTATTTTTTATTTTTTCAYAGAACTCGATCGATTTTTATTTGTTCAAATAATAATAATATTATTATTATTATTATATAGGTATTAATAGTCAATTATTTTATAATAGAGATTATACTTTTGGGAAAATTGAATTATAATTTTTTTTTTTGTTTTTATAATTTCCGGCATGAAGAAAGCGTTAAGTCGGGTCGGTATAATAATTCCTCTCAGTACTCGCCTGGAGGACTGATCGGAATTAATTTAATGATATTATTACAATGTTATTTGAACCGGTGCAGTTGCGCGGAGACAACACGAAACGAGCTAGAATTCCGAAGAGACTGTAGAAAAACCTGTCGGCGTAAAAATCTGAACTCGGCTGCGTATTACTTACTTGGCACGAATCCTTCGATCCTTCCCGGTAACCGGCGCACATCATCTCGTCGTAGATTATAACGTTTATGCCGTTGGACTTGTGCCACCTCTCGCACTGCCTGTTGTCGATGATTGGCACGTCGACGGCTTGCAGCGTCTTTGGCCTCAGTCTAGAACCTGTGTAGCGAAAAACACGCAAAAACAACAACAGAACACTGTATACTATCGACAAACAATAAGTGATTTTTTAAACATTTTACATAATATTTTTAAATGCCGATCGGCTTGCGATTTCCGTTTCCGGGTGCGTGGTCGTCCGGACGTCACGAACTGGCACAGACACGTCATAATGTACAGGTGCCTGTTCAAGACACCGCGAACGGCAGTTGTTTTTTTTTTTTTAACAATAACTTATGACTTTATGGGTACCATACTACTATCTACTTATAATAAACTATAGGTATATGCATATCGTGATTTTTATCGTTCTTGAAGCTTACGAGATACTCAAATAAAGCTATTTTATGGTGTTTAAAAAGTAGCTGGTCAGTTGGGGTTTYCATCATACAATAGACAGCACGAAAAAATAAAACCAAACCATATAACTGCAGCATAGTAGTATATTCGTATTAYTTCAATAAAAAATGATTTTCAACTATATTTAATATATTATATCAATATTATACTAAAACGTGTCTACTTCGATACCAATTACTAGTTAATATAATATTATACGAAATTGCAATTACGCAACATTTCGATGAAAAAATTTACCAATACGCAAGATTTCAGTRAAAATAATTTTGCYAAGACGGTTTTCGAGCTCATATTGTCKACAGTTCTATAACATAAAGTTTCCTTWAAATATAGTTATGTGCAATTTATTAGTCTATTTMACGTCACTGTTAACCGCTCAGGTATTTCGCAGCGGTTTTCAAGAATTAGTTTGGTCTTCACGAGCCGGTTAAAACCAAACGAATTTCGTCGAGCAATAAACCAAATAACAGAAGAGATTCGGCTGGTCTGCGAAATGTGTGGACGAAAGACGCCACTGTTGCCGCGGCGATGACGACAACAGTTGTAGTTGTACKGTGATAGACGGCATTGCGCACAAAGACTTTTTTAGAAACTCGTTTCCACGCTCGTGACACGCGTGGCGGACGCATTTCCTTTATTGCTTAGGTTTTGTGTGTGTGTGTGTGTGTGTGTGTTTTACCAGTTCTACAATAACGCGCGTTCACAGCGAAATCGGCATATTATTTCGATGCGCGCGCATCGTCCGACGCCGCCCACGCGAACCAGCTAAACGTTATAATAATAATGGCTGTAATTTAATAATATTTTGTACAAGTTAAACACAAAGAGTATTATTATTTATTACGATTTATCACAATATTATTAACCACTATGCTGTGTAGGCACAGTCGCGGTGATCAAAAGTCTGGACACGCGCGCGTCCTCCGATCGCACGTCGGGCCTATAGGTATTACCTATTTCCGTCGCATTATAATATTATTGTATTATGTGCAACACGTGCATCCAGCGACACTACTGTCGTTTGGTATACGAATGTGGTACTGAAAAAACCATAAAATAATTTCAAACTGGATACGTCGTTTAAATTGTTTACAAGTTYCAACTGCCCGAATGGTCGACGTATCGTCTGCTCGGACTTTGGGGTATAACAACGAAGAAACTGCTATACGCGCGGTGGTGTTCGTGTATGTGCAGATGGTTACTGCATTAGTACGACATGGCAGTCATACCGTTTTCCTGACATCGATGGAAATAAATCATTTTATATATTATGTTTATACCTACGACGAAACAGATCAACCGATGCTAAAATGTGCAGACTAGCGTTAATATATTCTTGTACGTTACCCACCCCGTTCC